AAAAAAACTTCAGAGAGTGGAGGGAAACTGGGAAAATTCAGGAACATGGTGGATAGGAAGTGTGTGGAGAAGAGAGGGGGCTCGTACCAGCCAGTTACCAAAACTTGCTCTCAGCAGCAGAACGTGCCCTTTCCGTAGATGGCAAATTTTCACCAAACTCGTCGGAGGAACAAAAAAAACGATGACTTGCAAAACGACTAGCTCTCGCAAGGCATCGTATAGGCTATATCGCATTCGAAATTCCCTATTCTGAATGGAAATAGAACGCCAAAAGGGAGGCGGGGGCGGAGGGGGGGGGTAATAGCCTTGAGAGGTGCCAAACCTGTAAGCGCTTGGCAGCAAACCGAGTCCTGTGCACTGCAGGCGGAAAACTTTGTCAAATCCCTGTAGGTCCCATTATAACCTGTCAAGCATCCTGTAGAGTCATGTCAAACTTGTCAGAATGACTGGTCAAGATTCGGAAGAAAATGGATAAATTGTTCAAATGACGCCAGTACCATTCCGCCAAACTTCACAGGAACAGTTTGCAGGCACTTGACAGGAACTTACAGGTTTAGCAGGGTAAGGCAGGAACGAGAAAAGACCGAAAAAATAAAGATAGAGACACACGTTGACATGTGCTCACATGTGTGGCGCTCCCCCCACCCCTTTTTTTTGGTCAACGGTAAGTTTCATTCTTCATCGTTTCAATAATTGCACTCAAAAGATAGATGACTGCTTCTCCTTATTGAACTGCACTCGAGGTTTTCAAATAACTTTATTAGGCTGACGTTTCGGTGAGATCACCTTCTTCGGAGCCGGCTTCCTAGGGGAAGGAGGAGGGTTAGGGTGGGAGGGGGATCCGGGAGTATGCTCCCCAGCTGTCCTTTCCTTAAGAAATGGCACTCAAAGGAAGTTGGCACGATAACTCCTTTAGACGAGTACGATTGAAACGTCTCGCAGGACGCAATCCCGCGCCCTTGAGCAGGCGCTGCGTAGCGCCTTTTCCAAGGAAGGTGCACCTACAAGGTCTTGTCAAGCTGCAACATACCGACCCGAACGCCCACCGCGCCCGCCCGCCCACAAATGGACGACCGTACCTGATGCTCGTATTGCTTCATTTGCGAAGTGAAGTATGAAGCGAAGGAATTGATATGAAACGGCCGCGGTGCTGAATGGTACATACGTGCAGCCGTACGTAACGTGGCGGATTATTGGCACGAATGCCTGCGGGAAACTCGTACGAATTACTCTCTGAGTCATGGACAGCGAGGGCTATTGCAGGTTTTGACCTCTTCACTTCGCTTTTTCGCCATTTTCCTGAGTAGGCAATTCTCGCGTAGCATTTTGTACTGGTACAAATTATGGTACATTCGCTTTGATATGGCTAATGATCTCTTCCAAAGAAAGCTTCAAAAGGAATCGTGCCGTGCAATTAGTCCCGAGTTGTCTGTCCCTGTGCCCGGTTGTCTTTGTGCGTCGCCTGATGCTGTCGCTGTGGTTTTTTCTTGCGGTCAGTGAATGACGATTTGTATGCACAGCTCCTTAGCAACTCGTGTGTCCACTCTCTGCTTCTCTGATCGTCTCCGTGTTTGTTTGTTTGCTGTCCACTTTATTCGCCTCACACACATCCTCTCCGTAGAGCGCCAACCCTCCCCGACACGACATAACCCCCCGCGGTGTGCGTTTAGATGCACGACTCGTTACTATTTAAGGAAAACCCAAAACAAGTTCTTAAGTTTTGTCAACAAAACAACAAATAACCGGCTCTTACCAGCTTCAAATAGCCGTTGATGTTCATCTCTTTGAAGACTTCGTTCTGAAATAGGGCAATATTGACTGATGGACGACTTGACAACCAGAACTGTGCTGTCAACGAACCATCCACATTTGTCGGACACCGGCATGAAGCACTTGCACGTCCAAAGTCTCCCCAGCGGCTACGGTAGGTGGCAGGAGCATGAGCGAATTGCTTTTTCCTGGAAGACGAGGACTGCTTTACCAAGAAGGCGATAATTTAATCAGTGGACAAGGAAAAACTAACCCTGCATTTGATCGGCATCTTTCGTCAGTTTATAGAACAAACACTCCTCAAGTACTTGGTATTTGTGATGGGCGATGTCGGAAATGTCTAAAACTAAAACCAGTAACTTGAACATTACCAGATTTGATTACTATTAATCGTAAGAAATAAATATAAAGTAGCCCTTCAAGGATTAAAGTTGGATCCAATGTTGGTACTTCAGTAGACTCGCATCCTTAAGTTTAGTCCTATTCGCTGCGGATGTTGAGGCGTGGCAGGGGTTGGGTTTGGCGCGGCGCCAGCACCTTTGCCTCCAGATATGGTGAGAGGAAAATGACTACGGTTGATGGAAAATGTGCTGGCACCACGCCAAATCCAGCCCTCTCACAGGCCCAACTTCCGCAGCGAAACTGTGAATGGTACTGTTTCCTGCAGAGTTAATTTCATTTCAGATCTGTTTCTTTCTCATCTTACAATCAACTAATCAATCAATTGAAACTTGACCCTTTGGGGTTACGGAAGGCTCAAGATGGTTTGGAAGAGTACTCAAGGCATTTTTCCCAGGGTTCAGCGGCCAGAACCGTAAAATCTGTGCATTTCCTGCGTACATTCCAAACTGGGAGCTCACATAGTTGGGGAAGATTGTCGCTTGGCAGCGCCTCTGTGGCTCTTCCCCTTAATCGAGGTTTGA